AAGTTGCTGAGAGGTTTTCGCTGGAGCTGCTGATCGTTTGATGGGAGCTAGAGTATACGCATCCAAGGTGGCTGACCCACACTGCTGGCAGGTGGGTTCCTCGTTACAAGGGCCACTGCACAGGGTTACCTAAGTATTTTCATGGCACAAGGATTAGCTTCCACCAGAGTGTGCAATTCAAGAGAACAAAGTAGAAACTGCAATCCTTTAGAACCTAGCCTCAAAAGTCACACGACCATCACTTCTTCTGTATTCTTTTAGTCACACAGCCCAGCCTGGATTCACTGTGGGGGGCAGTACACAAAGGCATGAATATCAGAAGGTGAGAACCATTAGAGGACATCCTGGAGGGTGGATACCACAGTGAGTCATGCAGGAATTTTATGGGCAGATGTTTCCAGGAAGAGAAGATCAGGTAAAGGCAGAGGGGAAAGGCTAGTATAGCTGAGCACAGTGATTGAGAAGAGATGAGGGAGATGGGGGCGGATCCTATAGGGCCTTGAACAACATGACAAGAAGAAGCACTTGTGCTGAGAGTGTAAAGACTTTTGAGGAGTGACATTACTTGATTTATGTTTGTCAAAAATTACTCTGGCTGCTGAGTGGAGAATTGATCTTATGGGGCAGGGAGGGAGGAAGGAGATTAGGTAGGATACCATTACTGTGTTCTAGTTGAGAAATTTCAGTGACTTGAGATGGGGTGGGAGTGGTGGAAGTAATAAGAGTTCAGGTTACAGATACGTTGTAAAGAGAGAGCCGACACGACTCCAAGCCAACAACACGCTGATGGGTTGGATGTGAGGTGGAGAGAAAGTGAGGAGTCATGAATGCCTTCTGAGTTTTTCCCTGAACAAAACTTGGGAATGATTGTGGGGGTGCAGGTGTGGGGGTTAGGAGCAATGGTGAATGGCGTTCTCTTCATTTGTCCTGGACATACTAAGTTTGAGAGTCTATTTGACATCCAGGTCTAGCTGTCAAATTATACTAGCCAGAAAATTCTTGATCATGCCTCTTCACATGTTTTGATGAATAATTAAGGACTATAACTATGTTACAGTATGACTAAGCCAGGTAAACTCATAGTTAAAAAAAATAACTATGGTCGTGAATACTGTAATGTAGTTATGATTCATAACATGGGCTAATTTTTTCTGTATAAATAAAAATTCAGAACTGTAGTTTCCTTTACTTGTAGTCTGGTTTTTCAACTTAAAATTTTAAAATATTGTATTTTATATTAGCCAAAATATTTTAGACAAATTTTACCAGTGAAAGTTTCAATTTCTGCAGGTGGTTCTGATCAAAATAATCACTCAAAATGCTATGTTATGTTATCCTCTCCACTTCTGCAACATAAAACCTTAAAAATTACTCAATATTTTCTCATATTTTTATTTCTCTTGAGGGGGAGGAGTTCTATTTTGCTCCTAAAATAGTAAAATTAATAAAAATTCAAACAATACAGAGTTAGATATTGCAAAAAATCAAATAACTAAAAGCCCCCTTTACCACTTGTCATTCACTCTGTGCTCTGGCAATCCATAATCTTCCCAAAGGAGAACCTCTGCTAGGAGTTTAATAAATACTCTTCCAGATTGTCTTCTGCACATTGATACACACACACAAACACACACATACACACACACACAGAGTTCTTTTTTAAAACATAAAATTGTATGTACCTTGCTCTTTTCACTTACAAATTATCTCTTGGCGATCTTTCTCTGTCATTGTTAAATATATTGCATAGTACTCTATGGCTTATTTAACTATTTCTTTGTTGATGTATATTTAGGATTATTAGGATTTTTATTGTTACAATGCTAAACTGGACATGCTCAGGCATCATTGGACATAAGTATATTTATGCTCTTATGCAATTATTTCTGTAGAACAGATTATAGAAGTAAATTTGTCGATTAGAAGATAGGTACATCACGGATTTTGATGGATGCCTGTTAATTTACCCTCCAAGAAGTAGATACCAATTTGTTCGTACACCGTCAGTGTGTCAGAGTGAGCCTTTGTCTGGTTCTAAATCCACACTTGTTATTAACAGTATTTTCTTCATTTTTGCCATTCTAAGGAACAAAACTTTTATATTGTTTTAGTTTTCATTTCCCTCAATACTTTTCATTGACCTTATGTTTTTTAAACTCTTTTAGAAAGAAAATATTCAATAAGTCGTTTTATGTAGAAAGTGGACATAAACAAAATATTTGAATACAATTGCATTGATAGAAAAGAGTAGGAGGTAGAAAGTAAAATGTGTGAGGAAGAGTGGAGGCCAAACAAGGCACAGTTTACAGAGAAGGAAGAAACAGTATGATGACGGAGGCTGCAGCCTAGGGTTTGGGCAGAGGTAAGGTAAATGCAAAGTTTGGGAGATGAGTTTGGAAAAAATTCTAATCACTGAGGAGCTGGAGGCCCAGTCCTGGAGGGAACACCCTTCCCTTGCCATCACTTGCAAGGACTAAGGAACAAACAGAGCTGGATGGATTCTTGTCCTGGTCCTCTAGTGGATGCATTACTCTGGCTCTCAAGGGCATTTTTGTCTTCAAGGGTATACTAGTAGGAAAAAAATAGATGTGTTAGGCTGGTGGAGGCTCCCGATTATGGATGGAGATTTGACTGAAAATTCTTTCCTTTATGAGAATGGGTAGATTCATTACACTGGATTTACAAAGTTACATATGTTTCGTAGTTACCTTTCTTAATTGTTGTGAACGATTGTAAAAAAAAATTTTTTTTTGAGGAAGATTGGCCCTGAGTTAACATCTGTTGCCAATCTTCCTCTTTTTCTTTTTTCTCCTCAAAACCCCAGTACATAGTTGTATATCCTAGTTGTAGGTCCTTCTAATTCTTCGATGTGGGACGCCACCTCAGCATGGCTTGATGAGTGGTGAGTAGGTCTGCACCCAGGATCAGAACCAGCAAACTTAGGCCACCAAAGTGGAATGCATGAACTTAACCACTATGCCGCTGGGCCGGCCCCCAGCTGTAAAATTTAAATTGTCACCTGGTAGGCAGGTCATCTGAGATGTGCAAATCATCTGGGACCAGGTTATCTCAATGACACAGACTATGAAGAGAGCACATTTTTTTAGTCTTTGTTGTTTAAAATTAAGCACTAATGCAGAGTTAGCACCTTTTGTGCTACCTTTACTTTCTATGGCTGTAAACACATAGTCTGTAAAAATGCTTGAATAGTTTAATTCATATCCTCTTTAAAGGATTACCTCATTGTTCAAACACTTTCTCCTTGATTTCATTTTCATTTTTTAGAAAATATTTTTAACATATCTAATATGTTATTATTATTAGATAATAATAACACATATCAAGTACTTACTGTGAACCAGCATTGTTCTAGGTTCTTTAGCTGTATTGACATCTTTAATTCTCATAACAACCCTATGAGGTATATACCATTGTTATCATCCCCATTACAGGTAAGGAAATGGAATCACAGAAAATGAAGTAACTTTCCTAGTCTTCCACTCCTAGTAAGGGGCACACCAAGTCCTTTAACCCAGGCAGATGGGCTCCAGGAAGCCCGACTCTTAACACTTCATCATGAAGGTTTTTCTGTCTTGAGTATATCTGTACTGCTTCTGTTGAGATAACGGAAGAGAGTCTTAACCAAACTATAAACAGACTCCAGCTAACAAAACTTAAATTACATGTGACCTGTTTGTATAGTGAAGAATTTGCTTACATTGTTTAAAAGTCAGAACATATAAAGGCAATTCTAGATCAAGCTATCATTCAAAAGCCATGGCCGTTAGCATACATTCCAGGGATCAGCAAACCTTTTCTGTAAAGGACCTGATAGTAAATATCTAGGCACATCCAATCTCTTTTGCTATTCTTATTTTTCCTTTATTATTATTATTATTTATAATCTTTTAAGAATAAAAAACCACTCTTAGGTCTCAGGCTGTACCAAAACAAGTGGCTAGCCCAGTTTGGCCCATGGGCCATATTTTACCAATCCTTGGCCATAAACTCATTGGGGCATATAGATTTAGACTCTTCCTTCTGCCTGAGGAAATGCCTCTTTTTATGTGTCTTAAGACATTTTGGCTTCAGGAGATGTTCTACAGGTCTCCATCTACCTCTCGCTGAAAATTTTATGCCTTCCTAAACATTGAAGATATCAGAGATGGTGAACTCCTGAGTCTATAGGGGTATGAGGCAAAACGTTATAGAATGAGGTGTCCAGAGCTTTGAGCCATCTCAAGCCAAATAATGTTCTGGAATTTTTCTCTCTGCAATGATTTAAACCAACATGTAAAATCCTGGGTTCCAGGAATCAACTGCATTTAGAGAACCTGTGTTCTACAGAGCTTTTCTCACCTATATTTTGCTTTATAAACTTTGAAATTTATGTAGTTACACACACACACACACACACATACACATATATATATTTTTTTCTATTTCCTTGATTTTTCTAGAGTGTCTTTGCTCTCACCAAAACAATGGACCTTGAAAACAGGCTTCTTGAGCAATAAAGTAGAAAATGTGTTTTAGTAGTTTAAAATGGTATATTAATGTGTGGTTTCTGAAGATTTCATTTAGAGATAATTGCTTGGGGACTGGGAGAAGCAGTTTATCCATTGTCAGTGATGATCTGGGTGAGAGGGCTATGTATGTTAACCAGAAACTTTGGTAATGGAGCAGTTGCATAGAAAATTTTCTTTTTAAGAAAATTAACCTATTTTATATGTGTAAGTGAACATTTGTGTGGGCAGAGATTTTCTTATCTCTCTCCTGAAGTTCCCTGACAAAAGCAAAATTGCCAAGTATTAAAAGGCGAGGAATTTCTTCTTAGGTATAAAGTTTGCTGATTTACCAGCTGGATGCAACTTACTTGATGAATCTTTCTTAATAATTACATGTCTCTGGAGTATATAGTCTTTCTAAAGAATATTCTCATATTATATCCTTTAAAATGATAATCTGACTTGATTATGTTTTTTTGTTTTCCTTTTCAGAAAGTATCTGTATGTTACATCTTCTTTTAAGGGAGCATTTAAAAATGAAGTTAAAAAGGCAGAAGAAGCGGTAAAGATTGGTGTGTAATTACCTGTGGCTACATCATTATTGTTCATTCATTCAGCAAACATTAATTGAGCACTTGTTCTCAGATTTACACTGCTCTAGGCAATGTAGGAATGACCACAATTAATCAAATGCAATTCCTATCTCTAAGGAACTTCATAACATATTTTCTATCTCTGGTTTTGTTTAATTATGATATTATTTATTTTTATAAGTATGACCCAAGTTCCAAGTACACATTTGGAACTAGATTCATATTAGAAGCTCTGGTTGTCATGATGCTGAATTAGATCATTTTAGAGACTAGCATTGCATCCACTTTAAGAAAGAATGTTCTACACGTTCATTCCTCCCACAGCAGGAGCAAAGCCGTCCTTTCCCAGTGATCCAGGAGTGAGGACTAGCTCTACATCCATAGTTCATGGATTTAGAGAGTTTTCCATCAGCCAAACACTCAGTCATGGCTTGTGAATTTGTATGTATATATTTGTGCCTGTAAATTGTCCTGCCTAAGAGGAAGCCCAGTATGGCTACATAGACTTGGAATGCAAGAGCTTTGGAAGGAATATAGGATTTTCTGAGATTATTATCTGTAAGCTGTTCTCCCTGGTCCTGGCTGTAGAGGTATGTAATGCTCTCTTACAATTGCTTGAAGGAATCTCACTCTATTATAATTATCTTGCTCCTGCTTCTAGCTGAGCTCGCACTGAAAGAAGCACAAATCGAAGTAAACCAGTCTGACAGAATTGCTTTGTCTTCTCCCGCCAAGGTATGACATATAGAGTAGTCTTCTTAAATGGCAAACAGTGTCATTTGCTCTTTCCCATACACGGTTGTCTCTTATCATTTACTTCCTAAACTTTTAGACACAGACAAGCTCAGAAGATTAAGTTGATTTTAACACAGGTAAACAGAATAGATGAGTGCAGAGAGAGAAGGGAATTCAGCAAGTGGGAGAAGGCTGAGGCAGAGAGCAGAGACGAACAAAACACAGGGTGAATTTGGAACAGTGGGGAAGAGCATCGCAAGTCATTTCTTTAAAATGAAAAGAAAAATAATGTAAGAAAAGGAGGAAATAATGAAAATCTAGCAGGAAAAACTAGCCCATCAAGTCTCCTTGAAAATATCTTTTCAAATTTTAGCTCCCTACGGACTCAGATTAATGGGGAGAGCGAGGAGAAGACTAATGAGCAATCCCTCTTTCTCGTGCTGAGAATTATGTACTATAATTATGAATATTAATAACAGTACTCCCAGCTTACAAAGCTCTTTTTTTATGAGTTGCTCCACACAGTTCGTAAACATGCTCTGTAATCCTTGCAATATGCCCATGAGTAAGATGGGTTATAAAGAACTATTATTATTAATTATAATGCATGGCAACTAAGATGAAAAAAATATTGCTGCAGGACATGTATTGTAAGTTTGCTAGCTTTTACCAAAAATATGGTACAAAGCTTTCTACCACGATGAATCATTAAGCTACACGTTTATTGGCTTGCGTACAAAGGGATAAATAGGTATATGGAGAAATAAATGCTTCATTTCACCTTTTCTTTATCCTCTTCTACAGACTCAATATATGAATCTTTTTTGTGATTTGCCCTTAAACTTTCAAGGACCAGGGCTGTGTCTGATAAAGAGCTCTTATAGCTGACAGTCATGAGTAGAGGATGAAATCAAAGAGTAGTACATGGCAATGCCCTATCTGTGGCTTTCCCAAAATTCTCTTACTTTTCTCTTTTTGCTTGTTTTTTTTTGTGTTAAAGGTAGACCTATCCTATGTTATCGATTTTTAAAGAAAAGTTTAAGCTTTTTAAATTTTGTGTCTAAGAAATCAATTTCCCTGGCTTTATGTATTTGAGAGACAAGAGAAACAGACTCTTTCTAATGGGTCGGGACCTTGCTTTCTTCTTATTTTGGCCAGTTACCTCTCTCCGCCTCTTTGTTCTGTGCTCTGAGCGCCTTGACAAGAAGGGTGGGGAAGTCTTTGACCAGCTTGCTTTGTTGCTCTGATGCACGCTGGTTTCTTTAACGCAGAGAAAAGAGCAAAGCAGAATGACCTGGCTTTTGACCTCTTAAATTCCTCCAGGCAGTTGAGTGGTTGCATATGAAGTGAAATACTTACCAACCATTTACCATTTTCTTTTACTTTAAAGTCAGTGAAAATAATGTTCATTCCCAGTGGTATACCCACCAAATGAGATGCCCATCTTTCACATCAGGTGGATGGAACACATTAAAAGTCTCTTCTTATTTGTGAAATAATAATATTACATTATTTTTTTCTGCCTGGTTAGAGGGAGTATACTATAGAGAGAACAGTGAATGAGCCAATATATCAAACTAAAAGAGAAGATACGAAAGACAGGTGGGCAGTGGCACTGAAGCACTCCTAAAGGGAGAAAGCAGAGGGACGGGATATTCTATAAAGGGAAAGTTTGGGGAGTATTAGTTAGGGGTATCTGGAACTTGATATAAAGAAGACATTTCTTTTGGCTACTGACAGAATTTTTTAATTACAATTTTTTTCTTGAAGAAAGTCACATGATTCAGCATTTTCTGTTCTCATAGACAGAAGCCAGAGTCTAGGTACATTGAATGACTTTCCCAAACTTTCACATAGCTTGTGTGAAAGCCGTTGTGACATTACAGGGAGCAGTGGCTCTTTCTCTAAAAGGCAGAGAGGACGTCAGAGTATGTGCAAAAAGAGAACCGTGGGCTGGGATTTGGTTTGTCTTCTTAGGTATTGGAACTTAATTGTTTATCAAGTATTTATTATCTGCCCTGGTAGAATTGTATCAGGCAATGTGAACTATTGCTGCTGCTCCTGTGACACATTTGGATAATAGGATAATAAGTATCAGCTCAGCTTTTGTTAATTTAATGGCATTATATTTGCTCCTAACCAAATGTACTTCTCCAGGATGTGTTAAAGAAAGCTTTGGAAGATGTAGAAGTGAAGCATAATATTCTTAAAGAGAAACGGAGGTAAGACAGAAGATTTTCTGTTTGCCGGAATCCTCTGTGCTATGTTAAACAAATTTTGATTTCTGAGTAGGCAGATTTGGTGGTTATTGTGATAGTTTCTCTTTCTCAGCCTGTGACATCTTATGATATTAAGCATAATATGATCAAAATCCCCCAACGAACATAATCAATGTAAAGTGTTTATAAATATGTATTTGTATATACACATGTGTTTACATAATGTTAAAACTTCTGAATACAGACTGAAAAATTAGTTCAGTGTCTGACTGGATGAAGAAGTGAACTGCCCAGGGGATCAGCTGACTAAACTGCACTTTCTCTGTGTCCTTTGCCATTTAAACTCTGGAGGGTGGGTCCCTGTTTCTTCCCTCTTCTAGCACTGCTTAAAATTTAAGATAGAAAATGTTTCAAGTAAATGTATCACTTCTATACAGTTAAAATAAAACAGCAAGCCTATATTACAAAACCATTATTTTAAATTTGTACAGTTAACTTGCTCTGCAGCTCAGATGTTAAATAAGTTAAACTGAGAATAATCACCGTTGTCCAAGTAAGGTCAGATTTTGAAAACTGTGATAACTTTGAGAAACAAATTCTTAGGGAAGTATTACTAGTTTTCAGCATTATTTTTTTGTGAACCATGAAGTGCTATACAACCATAACTTTCCTCAAAGCTTAAATTTGAAATGTTAGTTATGCATTTATCAAAATAAATATTAAGTAAATGTCATAGAAATCTTCACTGAAAAGCAAAAGCCTCTTTAAAGTCTTCAGAAAGAAAAAGCTGGTAGTCACAATGCCTGAAAGGTGACCAGCCTATTTTATTAATAATAATACCAGTTGGTGTGAACTTGTTTTTATAGCAAAAGGCTTATATCATATCCTGTTAACATCCTGTTTCGGAGTCCCTTTCATAGTTAGTATTCCTTTTTGGTGAAGAGATGGGATCTAATTATTGAGTAGACATTTATTTTTAAAAGTTTGATTCGTATATGGTTAACCCTAGATATACACACATTTAAAAATATATAATATATTAACCAATGTCAATAACTTCCTCAGAAAGTCTAATGTACTCTGTATATCCTGTCCACATGGAAGGACTGACAGAACTTTATCATTGCCCTTTAATGATGGATACATTTAATCAGTCCAGTCAGCACATTATGCCCATTGTAATAACACATGCTCATGAATTTGACAAGAAAAAGCTGTTTTTGTGGGGAGCTACAAGATGGTGGAGGAAAAGTTCTATTTGGTACTATCCTTGGTTGGGAAAGGAAAATAACATTTGCTAAACGCCTCATCTGGTCCAAGTTTATATTTAACATTATCTCTATTAGTCCTCACAGCATCCCAAGAGGCTAGGTATGTATTATTCCAGATGAGGCAGCAAGTTGAATTGACTCATCCATAGTCACATGGTTATTGCAAAGATGGGCTTGTAGTTGAAGCCAGGTCTGTCTTTCTGGTTCTTACATCCAGGCGCTTTTCATAGCTCCAAGCAGCCTCCTGTTACTGTGGTTGTTTCTGTCATATTTTGCTATTTTTATGCTTTTAATAGAAAAGTAACATAAAACATAGTGTAGCAGGACAGAGTCAGAAAAACAGGAGCTCATTATCTGTTGTCCTTGTAAACTTGCTTTATTAACTTTGATTTACATTTGATTTTGGAAAAAGAGAGCTAAAGAATATTATTTGGTACATTCCGATCTATGTAGGATATTTGAGGTTTGAGAACATGCTGAAAGATAGAAATCACATCCAGTGTTAGAAATGCCTAAATTTTAAAATAGTCAAACCGTCATTTTTCCAAAATGCTGCAATGTACATATTAGACTAGTTAACATCTTACAACTCTTTTGGCATTTTCTAGTTCTTATTCATTTAAACTGGCAAACTGGTTTTATATCAAGGAATGCTTGTGTTTGACTGGTACAGTTATTGGCCGTCATGCTCGTGCAAAATACTTGGCTATACAGAAATACTGAGCGTACCCACTAGGTTTTGCAAAATACCTGGATATTTTATATATATGGTTCTTTTGATGTTTACCTTCTGAGTTTAACTATTTGCAGTTTGTAAACTGTATATTTTTATTTAATAAAAACTTTTTTTTTTAACTTTTCTAAATATGCTAGAGAATTTAAAAAAGTGAGGACACTCTCCTTGTTCTTTGGAGTGAACATAGAAAACCGAAGCCAAGCTGGGGTGTTCATTTACAGTAATAACCGCCTGATCAAAATGCATGAGAAGGTGGGCCCACAACTGAAACTGAAGTCCTTGTAAGTATGCTCTTGTTTGCAGAGGCACAGGCGGGACAAGGGAGGTGGCAGTCAGGTTCTGTCTGTGGAGCTCGAGGAGTGATTCATCATGATGGGAGCAGGTGTCGCATCCTCGGCTCACCCTTCCCATCAGTGCGCAGGCGTTCTTCTGCCTAATTGATCATATCAGAGGAGCAGCGTGCCCGCTCTAAGGAAAAAGCACACTTTAGGAAATTTTTTCAGTGCATTTCCTGAGCAACTTGATGTTTCACCATTCCTTGGGCCACCTGCTTGGGTTAAGTTTTTAATATTTTGCCAATTTAAAAATAATACAAGGATAATAAAGAAATTTTAGAAAAGAAAAATCCGTAGTCTTATAAAACAACCCTGTTAACATTTTGTGCAGCCCCTGCACGTGTGAGTTCTTGCCAGTTACCTGCATGCGCGTCTGTTATTAACCACTCTCCAGCCTATTTGGATTCTGGAGTAATACATTCTGGTGCTTTCCCAGTGGTCTGAGACTCCACAAGCTGCCTTCATGCATTGTGTTGAGTCCTGATGAGAGACCCTAGAAGAGCAGAGTCAGACAGGATAACCGTGCCCAGTAGGATGGCTCAGGGGAACATTTTTCATCTTGCTTCCTCACTCTTAAGGAATTAGCAATTCATTTGTTTGTTCATTCAGCAAGCACTGTGTTGCAGTGCCATGCAGCAGGCTCTGTGCTAAGCGCTGCAGACAAGATGGTGAAGACCTACTGCCCTTTGCTAAGGAGCTCAGAGACCAATGAGAGGGACAAGTGTATAAATACATATAATATATATTGTGTGGAAACAGCAAGAACGACCTTTTAAACATGAATCAGTTTACTCTCTTGCTTAAAACCCCAATGCATGTAGAATAGCACTGGATACGGCAGTCTTCCAGTGATCTGGCCTCTGCTGGGCTCTGTGACTGCCCCGCCCATACTCACTCTCTCACTGCGTTCCCTTCACACCAGCGGGCTTCCTGTTCCCGCCTCAGGGCCTCAGCTCTTGCAATCTCTCTGCCTTGAACCTTCTGCCCTCAGATCTTCTTAATGCTGGTCCTAACATGTCACTGAGGCACCAGCACTAAAGTCCCCTCCCCAGGAAGCTCTCCCTGGACTAATTAAAATTAGTCCCTGCCGTCACCCCCCTCCACCTTAGCTCTTCACGTATTATGGCACCTGCTTTATTTCCCTCATACTGCTTATCACCATCTGAGATGATCTTGTCACCCTTAATGCCTGTCACCCTTCAATAGAAGAGAAACTTCATAAACAGGGACCTTGTCTTTCTTGTTCATTACTGTATTCCTAGTTCCTGGAATAGGGGCAGATCCTGAGCATGAAGGAATGAATGAATGAATATATGTTAGAGGCAAGTATCAGGTGCAAAAAGAACGTTTAGGAGGGGCAGTAAACCAAACTGGGGGAAGTTGTCAGGCTTCCTAGAGGAAACGATGTCCCAACTTAGACTTACAGAATGAATAGGGAGGGCAGGGTGGAAGGGGAAAGTGATGAGAAACATGATGGGCAGTGGCCCCACATTGAGAAGGCTTGGTTTGTGTGCCGTGCCAAGGGCATTGGGGAGCCCCTGAAGGGCTAGACTCCAGATGCTCTTTCCCGAAACAGGTTATATCACTAAGCAGAATATCCCAGTTAGGTACGTCATGAGCTGCTAAAAATGTGAGAAGAATGAGTTTATCCATCAGGCTAACAGGTAGATGCCTGTCAATTTCTGGGATAATCCATCTCTGTGTTCCTTTAGTAGAACTCACTGAGCACCCCATGCACCTCTGTAGGGAGGAGGAGAGATCCAACCTGAGAGATGAAGTGAGGGTGAAGAAACCGACTGCCTGGCCAGTCGCACTAGGAGGATCATGTCAGTTTATTGCAGCAAGCCATGTTAGTGGTGTCGAATGCTAAAAGGCCTTCTCTTCCCACCACCCTGACTCCCCATGTGAGGTTATAGGTTTGGAAAAGGAGTCATATTCCTTCAGTAATAATGTATTAAGAGATTTTGTATTATGGGACCAAACACACATGGGATTACCATAGATTAATGTTAACAAAATACAAGTGTAACGTGTTAAACGTTGACACAGTCCAGACCAACTGAATGAATTTATATTTTTAAAAATTGATTTCCAAAGATCAGGGTGTATTTGCTTTTTCTTTTTTCTTAGCTAATTTTCACAAAATTTATGTATGTATTTATTCCCCCAGACTTGGTGCAGGTGTGGTTGGAATTGTTAATATACCCTTGGAAATCATGGAACCATCCCATAATAAGCAGGAATTTCTCAATGTCCAGGAGTATAATCATCTACTAAAAGTCATGGGACAGTACTTGGTCCAGTACTGTAAGGACACTGGCATCAGTGAGTATTCGATAGTCATAGTAAGAGATACCTAATGGAGGATCAGCCTGTGTGATTTCTTTAAGCTGGAGTGATTGCATTGATTCAGGTAACCAGTAACCCAGAGCCCTGAAAGGGAGCTCCTGCATTAAAAAAAAAAAAAAGGGAATGAGAAGGGAGCCAGTCACAGAATCTTTCCCAGAACATTATGTGAAAAATAAAGCAGGGGCCAGCCTGGTGGCCTAGTGGTTAACTTCAACATGCCCTGCTTGGTGGCCCGGGTTTGGTTCCCGGGTGTGGACCTACACCACTCATCAGCCATGCTGTGGCAGCGACCCACATACCAAATAGAGGAAGATTGGCACAGATGTGAGCTCAGGGCCAATCTTCCACAGCAAAAATATATATATAAATAAACCAGCAGATTAAAAATTGTAAGAGGAGGGCAATCAGAGAGCAGTATGAAGTGGCAGCTGATCCTGGAGGAAGGAGGCAGACGTTTGCTTCAGATAAGCTGAGAAACCCCCAAAGGTCATTCTAAGACTCTACTGTGTGGAAGCACGTAGTCTTGTATATCTAACAAGTCTTGAATATGTTAATTCCAGAAAGATTTCCATTAAAAATCACTAAAAATAATGTGTTTGGAAACTTAAAGAGATAAACCTATCTGGAAAATTTTACTTGTTCAGATCACTTCACTCTCTGGAGATACCTGCACGATGAGGTGGTATGGTGTGCATTAATTACATGGACTGCTTTTGAGTTAGGCAGACATAGGGCTTCATTTATGGAAGGAAATAGGCTGCTGTGTATTTTTTGAATGATTTGCATGAAGTATGTATAATTCATGCATATCAAAAATTATGTCTCTACCCTTGAGACCACTTAAAATCTTATTACAGCTCCACTTGAAGTTATCATTTTAGAATATTTTCTTTTCTTTTATACCCACTGTGCTTGGTCCTAAAATTTTCTCATACCAGTGAAAAAGGAAAGAGTGCAGAGACTCGGAAAAAAAATACAAGTGGAAACGAAGTTGAGGGCACAGATTTCCTGCCAACGCTGAATTTTCACGTCATGGTCTAAAACCTACTCAGAGTGTGGTCTGTGGACGGGCAGCAACAGCAACACCTGAGAGCTTGTTAGAAATGCATAATCTCAGGCCCCATCCAGACCTACTGGACTAAAATCTGTGTGTTAGCAAGATCTCCAGGTGATCTGTGTGCACATTAAAGTCTGAGCAGCACAGCTCTGAAGAGTACGTCCTTGTAGTTTTTGTTTTGCGTACACATCCTTTTTCCACGTGTATTTTTTTCTCAGAGACATGTGTGAAGTTACATTGAACTTAGGAATGACTACATTGTTTGGCAGGGTTTGCTTAAAGCTGTAGAAAATGTGAGAATGAATGCACAGTGAGAGATAAATCAGCATCTACTCCCTGGTCTTTAAATGCTAGCGTGCCATGGTACAAAAGGAAAACGTTAAGCATTTGAAAATTGTGTGACTTTCCCCATTTGTCTCATATTCTCTCTCTAATCCCTTGTCTTGCTCATCCTTGGAACTTAATCAGGAATTAAGTCCTCAGAGTCAGGCCTTGAATTTAAAGGTGATAGGAATTATCTCCATCCAGCCCACACTTCCTAGGAGAGTCATACTCAGTCCAGTTTGTGGGGACAGCTCTCCCTGCTCGTTTGCCTGGTGTGTGGGTGCCCTCCCAATGATTGTACTCTCAACTCCAGGGTGTCACTTGCCAGCCTTGCCCCCTCTATCTAACTCCCTATCTTATCTACCTAATTTTTTCAACACCTTCTTGATGGATGAAATAAGATTCAAAATAAATTTTCTATTTGTATTCTAATTATTGCGGGTTAATAGCATATTGTTTTCCTAGTTCCATAGTTGTCTGTGAATTGATTTAGGGCTAGAGGATATTCTCACAAGGGATGTTCCTTTTGAAGGAAGGCGGAGAGTGAAGGAAAGATGGTGAGCATGTGTATTCATTCACACGTCTCACAACTGCATCCCAAAACTTTATTATCAAACTGAGTCAAGTGATCAAGGTTGGAATTGGTAGTCTCAGGAACTGTGTTGAGGAGATTGACTGTCAAGGTCTTTGCTTATTAATTCCCACAGGAATAACCAATGTTATGTAAGGCTTGACTAATACTCTGAAAGCCAGTATCACAGGGCACACAATTTTAATGAAAAGTACTTGGGTAGATGTTTTTGCCTCATAAATAAAAGATGCAATCTTTGTATTTGCTGTAAATCTGATCTGTTTCTATGGAAAATTGGGCCCATGTAAAAATTGAATCAGCAGAAAGGGAAATGGAGAGGTAATGACTTTGTGTCATTTATCAAATCTGAATTTACTTTTGGCACAGTTGAAGCTAAGAATCTCAGAAATATTTTTCTTCTCTAAGTCTGACCTCACCTCACTGTCTCCTACTATGTTTTCTGAAGCTTTATGCATCCTTACAGTAAAGTGGAAATATTAATCACCAGCTTTCTGGAGTAGGAAGAGAAGGAGAAGGGAAAGATAGAAACATCAAATGAGATTTGGGTTTGAACAGAAGCAATTATTATAGAAATTTATTACTAAACTTTTCCAAAATGGATCGGAATATGGCTGATGTGTTAAGACGAAGTCTATGATGTAATAAGCATAACTTTTCCCGGCAGAACTCAAATCATAGGGCCTCAGGCTGGCAAGGAGGCTAAAAATCACTTAATCCAGTTACCCCTCTGATGCTTTAATCCGCTCTTCCTCACCCACTCCTGCCCCAGGCAAGTGGACTACTATTTTAAGCCCAAGTGAGGGCCTCCCATGAAAGAAAAATCGCTACTTCTTGAGGCAGCCTGTGAATCTCTGCACAACTGTATTAGAAAATACATTTTCATATGATATTTGACCTTCTCCCTCTGACTTATTTCACTTTGCAAAATACCGTAAGATTTCCTTCATTAAGTAGTAGATAGTAACAACAATAAACAAACACATAGAGACAGAGATTGGATTGGTGGTTACCAGAGGGGAAGGGGGAAGGGAGGAGGGCGAAAGGGATAATTCGGCACATGTGTGTGGTGAAGGGTTGTAATTAGTATTTGGGTGGTGAACATGATGTAATCTATGCAGAAATAGAAGTATAATGATGTACGCCTGAAATTTATACAATGTTATAAACCAATGTTACTGCAATAAACAAAAAATTAAAAATAAATAAATAGAAAAAAAGAAAATACATTTTCATATTAAAATCAAATCTATTTCTCACGTGTTCTTTCACTCATTCACTTGTGGTAGGCGCGGAGTGTTATAGGACTAACAAATCAGACCTGGTCCACCCTCTCTGGGAATTTACAGTCTAGCAGGGCTAACGGTTTGACAATTAGAAGTAGAATTGGTACCCCACAGAGAAGAATGAGAGCTGCAGAAGCTGGTGATCAGGAGCTCAGAGTCTGGATGCCAGAGACGGCCTCTCGATATTCCTGAAGGATGAGGAGGAGTTAGCCAGGCCAACGTAAATTCTTCCCCCTTGGGCCACGAAGGATTGGCCTAACGCCTTTCCAAATGACAGCCCTCCAGATATTTGAAGACAAGCTTTCTCTCTCTCTCCAGTCTTGTTTTAGCCTAACATCCAAGTTGCATTGCTATTCTTCATTTGACATGGCATTAAATATATTCAACATTTTAACATTATACTTTATAAAGTGTATCACCTAGAAACGAAAATTCCAGATGAAACTCGAATAGCCTTGAATAAAATGGGATCATCATCTCTTTCTTTTAAGTTGTAATTCTTTTGATGCAGCCTAATATATTAACTCTCAGTAAGCACATTATTGACCCTCAGTGTCTTTATTACCAATTAAAATTCTTAATAAAATTTTTAATATGTGTTCTTGTTAAGCAGTACCTCTCATATTTTACCAGTAGTTGTTTTTGGACCCTACTGTAAAATCATACATGTATTCCTATTAAATTTTATCACCTATTAGGTCCATTCTTTCAGGTTGTCGGAACCTTTTTGGGAATCTAATGTTGACTTCTAATTAATGTGCTACTTTTCCAGAGATGTTAAGTTTGGCCAGTATTTTCTCTATGATTTCATGTAAATCCTGTTGCACAGGACAGGGAAATCAAGCACATGGCCCTTCACTGATGACCTCCAGTGAGGTAGAATGGGATACTGGGTGAGGACAATTAACCAATTACAAATCTTCCTAATTATGCTATCACCGAGCTCATATCTACTTCTCAATTTTTGTATAATCTTGAAAGTGAGGGATAATATTTGTTAGATAAATAGTTCCTTTAAAAAATAGACAGTGCTTTATGTCTTAGTCAGTTTGGGCTGCTGTAATACAACCATAAGCTGGGCGGTTTATGAACAACATGAATGTGTTTCTCACAGTTCTGGAGGCTGGTAGTCCAAGGTCAGGGCGCCAGGAGGGTCAGGATCTGGTGAGAGCCCTCTTCTGGTTTGTAGACTTGCAGATGGTGACATCTTGTTGTCTCCTCATATGGTGCAAAGAGAGTAAGCTAGCGCTCTGTCTCTTCTCATACGGGTGCTAATCCTGTTCATGAGGGCTCCACTTTCATGATCAGTTACCTCCCAAAGGCCCCGTCTCCAAATACCATCACATTGGGAATTAGGTTTCAACATAAGAATTTAGGGGGGACTCAGATGTTCAGTCCATAACACTCTAGTAGCTGGATATAGCTAGCTGCTCACAACAAAATGTTGTTTTCCTTATGACGCTCTTTAATATCTAAGATCTCAGGAAGGCATTACAAGAAAAATGAAATACGCCATTTCTGCTAGGGGTACACACTGAGGGAGGAGGCCTGTGTAAATATTACAAGGTGAGACTGTGAGACAAGTTTTTATGAAGATGTAGGCCAAGAAACAATTCGTATGTTTTTCTATTTAGTTTTTGAAGTTATGGATTTTATGTATTTCTTTTATTTTTAAAATATTGTATTTTCAATATTATATTTTATGTTTTATTTTTAAATT